TTTTAGAAAAAAAAAAGTAACATTTCCTTCATTGCAGGTTCACAGTTGTGGTTAAAATAGACAATGTAGAATATGGTACCGGCACTGGTAAAAATAAGAAGGAAGCAAAAGCAGTCGCAGCAAAAAATAGCTGGGAAATGATTGAGAAACAGGTGGGTAAACTGCAGGATTTTCTTTTTTTTGCTAATAAAAATTGAAGATTAATCTCTAAAATCATTTGTTTTCTTTAATTTGGAAGAGTTTATAATTTTTTTTTGGTCTTTGTTCTGTATTATTCAGTCCTTTTCTACTTTTTATCACTGAACTATTTTCCTTATTGTTCTTCTACTGGGTTGGTGTATAACATCAAGATTTTTTTCTTCCTCTGCTGTTATAGGATGAGGAAATGTATTTGCCTTTGTTAAGCTGCCTTGGTATATCCAGAGTGGACAGTGCTCCTTCTTCATTTTGACAACTGTTCACAAATTCGATGTCTTCAAAACATTTTCATGACATTGTTCTGTGTGTTTGTTGCCACTCTGCTCATAAAATTGCCTATCTTCACTTGATCTGATTAATCTTGTTTCCTTGTCATTATGTCCTTTATGGTATAGCTGATTCTATGCTCTTTATCCTTCCTTGATTTAGTTTAGGTTTGAATTTTGCTCCTCTGTTTTCTGCCATGTGTTTTGTGATAGCCATTCTTTATTTTTATTTTTGACTCTGAATGCTTCTTAGCACCCTTTGAGTGAAAACCTTCCTTACCTGTTTCCATATGCTTTCTACTGTGTCACCATCATTACTTCAACACACTTGCTGCACATTTGCTAATTTATTATTAATGCTGCCTCATCATAAGACAGCTGAAAAGTCCTGCTTTCCCCTCTTGTATGTGCACAGGAGCATTTGCAACCCTTGCTAATGGTGGTAACAACAACATCCTGCTGCCATTCCCTTCTCTTGGCTCTCCTAATGCTGTGAGAAAATTCAGAAGGCAGCATTCACTATTTTTTGAGACATTTCACAGCATGTTCCCTGTCTTTTCTTAAGCAGAGGTGGGAGGAAACATAGTGATAGGTTGTTAAGGATATTGATACAATAATTGGAAAACTGGATTTATATCTCTTTGGAAATTCAGTATGTAGTAATTCTGGGTTGGGATGGCTGCCCTTTGCCACAAGGGACTCCTTTAATGAAAACCTGGGATTTCTTAAAAATATTTCGAAATGTTGACAAACCTTAAAGTTGTGTTAGATATTGTGCACTGTATCTTAATCTGTTTACTAAACTTAAGTTTTTAAGTTACCTATTTTGTTTCTGTTATAGCCAGAGAATCCTTCAAATATCCAGGCGGCAGAATTAACAACATCTCCAGTGACCTTATTACCTGCATCAGCCCATGACTATGTCAGCCTACTAAATGTGTATTCACAAAGGACACATTGTTTAGTTGATTATACTAACATAAAACGTACTGGAGATGACCATGCTCCCACGTAAGATGTACTTTGCCTTTGTACTTGCCTTTAATACTTCTTTGTGTTTACTAACACTGCAGTTAGTTACCCTGAGTAGCATTAGATGGATCTTTAGAAATACAATAGAAATTTGGCGGTAGTCTGGAGAAAATCCAGTGGAGGGCCATTAAGGTGGTTGAGGATTTGAAGGATGCAGCATAGGACGAGACGCTAAGAGGACTGAGGTTGCTCAGCTGGGAGAAGAGATGGCATGATGGTAACATAGTAGTCAGTATTGACAAGCGGTCAGTTATCTTGGTTATAGCTCTGGCACCTCTGTGGACCTTTTGGCATGTATTCTGCAGACCCCTAGGAACCGAATGCCAAGGAGAGCCTGTTTGTGTCTCCTTCTGTATGTATTGCAGTCAGTGAGTCTTAGAAATGTTCCAGTTAATGACAGCTGGGGGATGATCAAGAATATCTACATATTTTAATTTTCTTGACAATATTGGCTGGAAAACTCCTCTCTTCCCCTGCAAAATCAGCCATTTTAAAACCTAAACTACGGATAACTTGTGATGCTTTGAGGAGTTCAACCTTAAAAAGTGGTAAATATTCATTCTCTGAAAACTGGTTATTTTGAAAGCATGTCAAATTAGTTCTCTGCCATTATTAATTAGAGTAAACATATATTTGAAACACTCTCCTGAAGATGTATGTTTGATTTCCACTCTACAATGTCAATTGACTGTACTGTTTGAAGTCTTAATTTAATGATTTGTCATATGGGATATAAGATTTTAATCCCTGTTATATTTTACAGGTTTTCTTGTAGCTGTACAGTTAATGGTTTTGTGCGGGGAATTGGCACCGGACCTTCACTTGGTGTTGCAAAACAAGCTGCTGCAAAACAAGCATTTAAGACGCTAGAGAAGGAAGGTGCTCTAACAGTACGTGCTATGTTTAGTTTTAAGACAAAAATTTAATTCGTGCATCTTTTATCTTTGAACAGATTTTCTCACTGTATTTAAAAGCATAGTCTAGGGATTCCACTTAAGAGGGAAACAACCCATATTTTGGTGGGTTGGTTGGACTACAGGATTCTGTTGGTGAAATTTATGTTGTGTTTCTATATTCATGCTGGATTACAAAAAATTTCAGTTGATATCTCTGTGAATTTCAGAATATGGTCTGATACATTATCATTCAAGGGTGCACATACATTAAAAGCTTCTGAATCCTAACTGCTGTAATACACTGGTTGTCTCCTGTGTGAAGTGCTGTCAAGCTGACTGGCTACGAACATCAGTCTCTTACTGCCTACTGTTGGATCAAAAACTGTGTTGTGAAACAGACAGACAATTGCATATGCAGTAAACAGTGAAAACATTTGCTTTTAATAACTGTTATTCTTATCCTGATTTTCAGCAGATCTCAGACTCTACTTCTGCCAATGTGTCTATATAGCCACAATGTGAGTGGGAAAATGCTCGCTGCGACAGAGCCCCCTGTTTTACCACTCTGTGTACAAGTTAGGCAGATGCCTTTCTTCTGCAGGGCTTTGAATGCTCAGAGCAGTTAACAGCTTCCACTTAGGACCTTTTAATCTTCCCTCCTTCCTCTTAGAATGGCTTTTTTTTGGACTAGGGATTTTTTTGGTGATTTTTGTAACCATTCTTGTTTTTTCTTTTTTTAGGTGGGAAATGAAAAATCTAACTGCAATTCTACATTTAGTGAGCACAGTAATTCCTCTGAAGTGCTAACTCGGTGTGACTCGGAGTAAGTTGGGTTCACTGATAATGTGATAACAAAATTTATTTACTAATTTTAGAGGGTCATGTGATCTGGTCCTAAATAAAATCTGTCATAGCTTCTTTATTGCAATTTAATGCAATTTAATTTGGAATTATATTTCTTAGACTTCAGAGCAAAATTTGTTTTACTTGTGCAATTTTGAATTCTTATGGGTTACCTTATAATAATTTTAGAGCTTTCTGATATATTTATATTTTGCCATAATTCTTTTAGAAGTATTTTTACTGTGATGTAAATGGAATAACCTGCCTCATTCAGTACCATTGTTTCATGCCATTTTTAACACTCATTTTCCTATAGTGACACTCTTGTGTACTCAGTATAATTCAATTTCAGTACTTTACTGTGCTCCACATTCTGCTTTCTTTATTTTTTCACGTTTTGATTCTCCATGAGTTTTAGTTTCCACCAAAGGGAAAATTTGCTTAGCAAAAGCAAATGAACATGCATGAAGTTTCATTTGTAATTTGGGAACCCTAGGTCAAGCCTCTTGTGTCCAGCAGTTAATTTGACTGTAGTGCCACTACCACTTATTTTATGTTCTTTGTGTGATTGTAAAGCAAGATGATAGGTACGATGCTAGAGGTGGCTGCACTGCATTGAAACAAACCTCTGTATTTAACCTATTTAATTAAAGGATATAGTACAATATATATCACATCATATATATATGTGTGTGCGCGCGTATATATACACACAATAATATGATATCATATCATAGAAATAGAAGATTATATTACAATATGTTATTCTTTTATTAGCTTTCCAAAATAAAGTTTTGTAGTTTTAAATCAGTCATGATTGTTAATGCTTTTTCAGGTTTTGTTTCTTTTTATCTTGTGGCAATAATTTTATTTATGATTGTGTCACTTTCACCTAAAACTAGTCTGTTATTTTTCAATAGCAGCAGTATTTACTTTGAAGACTCAGATGCGAAGCTGGTAAGAAAAATGGAAGACATGGTGTTATGTGAAAACTCTTCACCTTCTCAGGTATAGTATGAAGATGGTTTTCCTCATAACTACATTTTAGATGCTGACTAGAGCAAGCTTCTTGTCAGAGTATAGCCTCAGTTTGTTCTTTTATCCTCTAATCACTGAAAATCATGGGCATTTTTCCTCAGAATATTCAGTACTTTCTTAGTGTTAACAGTTAGTCATTTATTTCTGTACTGTGGACCCAATTTATGTACTGGTGACCAAATGGGCAGTACTCCCAAGAAAGGGGATCAAACTAAGCTTGCGTTTTTCTGTGGGAAGAATGATGTTATACATAGCATATGTGAAAAATTTAAGCTAAGATATGGCTTCATTCTTACAATGTTGTTTATGTAACACATTTATAGACAATTCCTACATACATTCTCAGGCACATTTTAAAGTAAATATAGTGAAAATATTCAGGATATCTCAGTTAGGTTTTTATTTTTCTTTTTCATGTAGAGACATGCACAAAGTGCTGCCCTGAAATCCAAAAGGTACGTGTTTATTTCTAGGTTGCTATCTCCCATAAAGCATATTGCAAACCACTTCAGTGTTTCTATATCTAGCAAAGAAATGCCACTGCTGGGAGGTACGTTTCTTTTCTCGGGACATATTAGAAAAATGGCTCATTATAAATTTTGCTTTTATCCTTGCTGAAGAAAATTGGCACCTAATTTTGATAATGCAAAAAACAAGGAAGAGAAAAAAAAGATGTCAGATTCAGATGAAGATTTGGACATAAATACCAGCGAGAATAATGAAAGTCCATGTACTGTGAATAAAAGGTAAGAAGGGTATTTTTTTTAATAAGATCTGTATGCCAGTTACAGTACACAGTGGTCTAGATTTGTCTGTTTATTTATAATAGAGTGTGGAAACACTGCTGTAAAAATTTTCAAAGAAAATTGGTACTTGAGATTTATTTTTTTCTGAAAATTTCAGATACAGTATAGGAACTGACAGGCAACAATATTTAATGCTTACAACCAAAAATCATTTGTGTGAAGATGTGAGGGTAACTACCATACATGCTTTCAAGGGTCAGTTTCCTTCGGTTTTTTTAATCTTCAAGACTATGATTTAGGTGTTGAGTGATCTCTGTAGAATGATACTTCAGCAGATGTATTAGATCTGTCAGGATAATTTTTATATCTTATACATTTAATGTTAAGTATATTTAATTTACATATCTTTTTTTTTTAAAGATTTCTTGGGAGTTTTAAAAATATAAAGGCTATTGGTGAAGGTGGTTTTGGAAATGTTTTCAAAGCAACAGGAAAGCTGGATGAGCAAACCTATGCAGTCAAACGAGTTTGCTTCACAGAGTATGTATTATATATTTACTTCTGGTTTATATTTTAGGACAACCTTAATCAACATTTTAGTACTTTGCTTTGTCTCTGTACTAATCTTAGGAGAATTTAAGCAACTTTAATTATTCTCTATTCTTTCCAGTAAACCATGTTCTTTATTTCTAAGTGAAGCTGAAAATGGCATGCGACTTCGTTAATTTTTGCATGCACTGGAATAATGTCAGATGCACCTTTAAAAAAGTAGATTTAAGTTCTACTTTCCCTGAACACACAAGTTCTCTGGTTATTAATACTGCAAAATGTGTTTGAAGAAAACTTGCTGATTAATAAAACATTGAAAGCAGTGTTACTTTTGACAGGTTACATGGAAAGTTTACATGTCAATAATGCATAACAACTATAATCAGGGAAAATAGAGAAAAATCAAGGTAATATATTTTGTGGGTTGTAATTGAAAAATGCTTTGTATACAATTCATGTAGTCATTATTCTCACACTTTTACTTTATAAATCTCTAGAGACAATGATGATCTTATTTTTTTTTAATTAATTTTCTGTAACCAGTACCTGATGGAGTATTTTATCAGCAGCTGAAGAACTTTAATTTCTTTTAGGTCATCTATTTGAAAAGTTTCAAGTAGTTGGAGATACTTGTCCCTTACGTTCCGTAACTACCCTTCAAATTCTTGTGTTCTTCACAAATATATGTTGTTTTCATTTGTATTACAATCCTGAGAACTATACTAAAAAAATTCTACTGATTCTTCAAATAAAGACTGTGAGTGTAGCCCAAATACAGTAATAGTTCTTCAGTAGTATTTACACTGACTTCTGTATATGGAAACGCACTTCACAGAGGTGAAAAGGTGTGTTTGCTACATTGTGTTTGGCTACCTAATGTAATTACAACTATTTGTTTTTTTCAGCTTTTTTTGAGTGGGGCTTTCATTTCGAATGTGGTTACAGCATTTTAGCGCTCTGAATAATTGAGTGGATGAAAGAAAACCCACAGAACTGATAACTACAATTTTGAACTTGTATGAAGAATATGTTCTTTTTCTAAATTAATGCAAAACTATCTGTATGCTGCTACTTATCATGTATTTTACTTAACTTTGTATTAATTTTTTATAGGGAAATGCCATTTGTTTGGTTTTTTTACTTCTTTCTTCCCTCTCTTCCCCCAAATAGGAATGTAAAGCGTGAAGTAAAAGAACTTGCAAGTCTTCACCATGAAAACATAGTGCGGTATTATTCTAGCTGGCAAGGATATGACCGTGTAACTGATCCACTCTCAAGGTAACTACAAGATACAAGTTTGCAGTCACAAACTTGTTTGCCATAGTGAATTTTGTGTTGTAAAAAGAAAAGCTGATGATTGGTTATAAATTATAATACAAAGATAAATGCATACACATAATTACTATTAGGAAAAAAGGCATAGTACTTTCCAGCAGCAGGTTGTATATAATTAAGTATGTTTGTATTTTCTTCCTTGATGAATAAGATAGATAAAATTACATGATCTTTCTCTACTCTCCTAATGTTCAGAACTTGCTGAATCTGTAGAGGAACATTAGAACTTAGAACTCAAAATCAGGGGCCAGAATTAACAACAGAAACTAAAAATTGTCTGGCAATTGGCTGCCAAATTGCTGAAAGGAAATTTCCTTTTTTTTTTTTTTTAATAAGTAGTGGTCGGCCAGTAGCTCTCATAGATTTAATTATTTTTCTAAGCTAGCATTTTGACCATGATGCCTGAAACAGTTTTGGTTGTTGAGAACAGAAATACATAAATGAAAAGCTCTTTCCTCTAGAGGTATGAACACTAAGACTACTGGGAAGACAATTTGGGCACTCAGAAAACTTAGTGTGAACAAGGAAACAAGCAAAATGTTAGTAATATTCCAGGGGTATGTAGCAATTGAGCAGGGATTATTTGGTTTGCAGTTCTGTCTGTTTATGCCTAGTACAAATTGGTCTAGTATATTTTTTAAAAATGAAGTGACTTGCAGACTTTGTTTTGGGGAACTC